CCCGCTGCTCCCCTCAGCAGTGGACTTTGTCGATCTGCCTGTTCTGCTCCCCACTCTGTCCCTGGTGAATCCTCTCCCCCTCTGCATCTCTGGCCTGTACCCCAGGTCTGTATGAATAAATAAATCTTAAAAAAAAAACAAACCCAGAATTGACCAAATGTCTGGCCACCTCATGACCCTGTGAAACAGACACAAAAAACGAACCATCACACTCTCAGTTACTTAGAGTAAGAGGTAGATTACAGCTAATGAACAAATACTGATACATTGTGATTAAGTAAGTTCCCCATTTTATCTACATATGTATCTCACTTGTTCCCTCCTTTTTTTGTTCCAGAATGTCACCCAGGGCTCACATTACACTAGATGTTTCTCTTGGCTGTGATGGTTTCTCCCATTTTTCTTGTGTTGTTTTATGCTGTTTTGTTTTTTACCATTCTGATAAGCACTGATCAGATGTTTTATACACTGTTCCAAAATTGGGATTTGCCAGATATTTTTCTCATTATAGGAAGACAGGTGACAATTTCCTCCCATCCCATTAAAGGTACATCACCACTGAAGCTGGCTTTGATAGCCCAGCTTAAGGCAGTGTTTGTCAGGTTTCTGTGCCATTAAATTACTTTTCCTTCCCTGTACTTACTATGTTCTTTGGAAGTCATTACACTCAGCCCACACAGGGAGGAAGTTGTAATTCACCTCATTAAGAGCAGAGTATGCAAATTAGAATTTCTCTGTATGGGAGATTTGTCTCCTTATTCATTCATTCATTCAATCACTTTTTTCTCATATAGACTCAAAGATTTACCCTATAAATGTGATACTACTTTGTTTTGTGTTCAGACTGTCCCAGCGTGGTCACTGGGAGCGCTCTCCTTGGGCACGCGTGTCCCTTTGACATACTCCCACCTTTGTGGACAGGTTTGGTTTCGTTTTTAGCCTTGACTTAGTCCATTTATTTTGACTGAGGGGTCTTTGCTTTCCTGAGGGCGTCTGCAAACCTGAAGGCATTCCTTACCTGAGTACGGTCCTATCTAAAAGGCGCGGTGGTGGCGTTAGGGAGGGACCCGTTGCCATGGGAATAAAGTCTTTAGCAGAGAGCATGCGCACAAGGGGACACGGTGCCGAGCCGATGAAAGGTGACGTAAAAGCGCACGGGGTGGGGCACAGAGCCCGGGACGTCAAAGCCCTGCGTCTTCCGACGCCACAGCGGAGGAAAGGCGCGCTCAGCAACGGCGGCGGCGACAGCGGCCCCAGACCTGGCGGCGCGAAGCTGACGTGGGGAGAGGCGCGAGTGAGGCGCGAGGGCTGTGCCCGCGCCGGGGAACAATTCCTCAGCGCGACCCACGGCGGACCAGACTCTGGCCCGGCCGACGAGACCCCGCCCCTCGGGCCTTGGGACTAATCGGATTGAGAGCGCGCCGGCCCGGGCCGCGAACTCGCCAATTGCGGAGGGCGTCGGCCACCGCCCAATCCGGAGCAGACAGGTGCGAGGTCCGGAAGGCGGAGACCAATCAGCGGCGGTTGCGACCAGTTGGGGCAGGCCTCGGCCAATGAGGAGGCGCGAGTGACGTCTCTCTGCACCAATCGGGAGTGAGGGAGCCTTCCTGCCGCCCGCCCTTCCGGCCTAAGCTCTATTTACCAGGGGCGTGCAACCCACTTGCCAATCAGAGCGCGGCTGAGCGGCCCGGCAGCCAACCCCGGAGGAGCGGCCGGCCGGCGTCCGCCGCACCCAGGAGTTGGGGATGTCCTACAAACCCATCGCCCCCGCCCCCAGCAGCACCCCTGGCTCCAGCACCCCTGGGCCCGGCACCCCCGTCCCTACAGGTGAGCCCCAGCTCGGTCCCTGCTCGCGCGTGCGGGCCGGCGAGCGCTCGGAGCGAGGACGGCCCGGGCTCCGCGCGGGCCTGCCGCCCTCCCCCGCCGAGCCTCAGTTTGCTGGTCCGTGAAGTGGGCGTGGCCCCCGGGCGGGTCTGGGGCGCGCACGGGGAGGGCCCCCTGCGATGGCGTCCAGCCTCCCTCCTGGGGGAATGGGCCAGTCTGGCCGCGGGCTCGGAATGCTGGGAGGCGGCGTCCCTGCCCCGCGCTGACCTCCTCTGTTGCAGCGGGAAGCGTCCCTTCACCCTCGGGGTCGGTGCCCGGAGCCGCTGCCCCCTTCAGACCGCTGTTTAACGACTTCGGACCGCCGTCCATGGGCTATGTGCAGGTGAGCGGGGCCGGGGCCGGCCTCTCGCGGCGCCCGGGGCCCCAGCCCCTCACACCTGAGTTTGGCTCCCCGTACTCTGTCCAGGCAATGAAGCCACCGGGCGCCCAGGGCTCCCAGAGCACCTACACCGACCTGCTGTCAGTCATAGAGGAGATGGGCAAGGAGATCCGGCCCACCTACGCCGGCAGCAAGAGCGCCATGGAGCGCCTGAAGAGAGGTGAGTGAGGCCGGCCCACACCCTTCCCAGGAGAGTCCTGCGGAGCAGCGGTTAGGGAGGGCAGTGGCCCCGAGCGCCCGAGCCAAGCTGGACCAGGGCTGGCGTCCCTCTCCAGAGAGCCGCTGCCAGTTGAAATTGAGTCGAGTCAGTTTCCAGGGCCGAACCAGGAATCGGTGTTTCAACGGGGCAAGTCTAAGGACGTCCAGCGCGGCTCGCAGCCCCCCAGTGACCCTAACAGTGCCTCACCTCGCCCAGTGGAAGGGGGCGGGGAGGGGCCTTCTGGACGGCAGGGTGGGACCATGGGGGTCTCTGAGACCCTGTTTATTACTTCCCACCCCCACCCCGCCCCCACCCCAGGCATCATCCATGCCCGGGCCCTAGTCAGAGAGTGCCTGGCGGAGACAGAGCGCAACGCCCGCACGTAACAGGACGCCTCGCCTCAGCGTCTGGACCTTTCCCGGCCACTGCAGAGCACCTGCTTCTCCCTGGCCTTCACCCCGAGTTGCACTTCCCACCTGGGCTTCCTGTCCTGTGTCCCCTGGTGGGTGCCTTCCAGGAACCAGGGGCCACTCCAGTCGGCAGCACTAACTGGGACCCCCGCAGTAGATAGCGAGGTCACCGAGTCCCACCCATGACCTGCCAACAGTGTTGGCCCAACTGGAGCGCTCTGCAGCCCCCACCACACAGCACTTGCCCAGTACGTCCTCCCCAGACCCCTCTCCCCCAGCAGGGCCAGAAGGCCTGTCACCTCCCTGCCTTGTCTCCTGGGCCACAGCCACTTTTTTCTCAGTGTCTTTTGCTAAATATGCCCTTTTTGTATAAATAAAAGATAATTTGGAGTTGTTCTCTCCGCTGTTAGTCTGAGTCTGGTACTTGTACTAACCCAAGTGGGCAGAGGGGGGGAGGCGGGAGGTGGGGCGTGGTCTGGGGGAGGCAGACTGGCCTGGCTTTCCAGCACCACTCACGGGCCCTGGTGGCACCTGCCCCTCTGGGGCCCCAACCGTCCCGCCTGTTAGTACCTCCAGGACGGGTGCAGGGTTCACCCTTGTAGCCGCTGCCCTCCTTCAGGTGAGGCCACCAGGGGGCAGTGCCGGCCTTGGCTGCTTCCACTGCTGCAGGCCACTGCCGGAGCTGGGCAGAGGGTTCTCTGGATTAGCGGTCATGCTGGCTGAGTAGAAAATGCCAGTTCATTTAAGTCACACCCTCTCATGCTTTAATGCCCTAATACCTTCAACTCCCATTCAGCCCTGGGGAGCTCTGAACACACCTCATCTCTGCCCTCGCAGGCAACAGTGCCTGCTGCCTCCTCCAGCACCTGTGAGGACGCCTGGGGAGGGCCCTGCTGGGTGTGTCATGCACTGCCCCAGGGCCGCCAACTGGCTGGGTGTGGTCTCCTGGGCCCAGCCCTTGCTGCCTCAGCCTTTGCCCAGGGTCTGGTTGGCCAGACGTGTGGACCCGGAAGGTATAGGTGAAGGCCATGGGGCACCATGCTGGGGCTAGCAGAGTGATAGCAGTGATAGCAGCCGCTGCAGGAGCCACCTGAGCCTTGGAAGCCCGGGCGCTGGGACCCACCCCTAGGTAGAGACCAGGCTGGAGAGACCCTGCTAGCTGGGCCAGACCCAGCAGGGGCCTTTGTCACAGCCCCAGGCTCGGGGCTGGAACGGAGGGGATGGGACCCTGGAGGGGATGGGACCCTGCGGCACTCCCAAAGCACCCAGGAGGATGGGTCAGGAGACCGGACAGGGACAAGTGTGCTTTGGGGAGCCCAGGGGCACGGAGGGAGGGAAAAGTGCCCGCGTTTGGAGAGCAGCTTCTTCCCCTGCCTGCGAGGGGAAGGAAGGCCCAGCCGCGCTCCTCCACCGCGGGCGGGGCTCCCCGGACCCCGCGAGGGGGAGGGGGGCGGCCGGGCCCAGG